TTGAATTATAAAATACATTTTTATAATTGAGAGATTGCCTTGAGTCTCAGAAAACACATGGACTTTGGACTTTGAAACAGTATTGAGACTGTGAAACATTACAGGGACTTCTGAAGCAAGGTTAAACGCAATTTGCATTGTAGTATGGCTACAAGTCTATGTGGTCTATGGAGAGAATGTGGTGGTTTGAATGTGAATGTCCATCATAGGCTTATATCTTAAAAGGCTTGGTCTCCAGCTAATATTTGGGAACAATTAGGAGGTATGGCCTAGTTATACTAAGTGTGGTCTTGTTGGAGGAGGTATAGGCTTTGAGGATTCAAAAGTACACTCCAAGCTCAGTGTCTCTTTATGCCTGTGGCTTGTGAATCAGATGTGAGTTCTCAGCTGATGGGGAAAGTCCTTGTGTGTATGTTCATCTTATTGATTGTCGAATAAAGTACTGTTTGGCCAATGAGGCAGCAAGTTAGACAGGACTAGGAGTCAAGGAGGATTCTGGGAAATGTAGTAAAGAAGTGGTGATCCAGGCAGGAAGTGACATAGCAAGAAGACTCATATCTAAGCAAGGACAAGCAGGAAGTGGTTCCTTTTCCCCTTTGCTCTTCTTCCTGCTCTCTGCTCTGAGCCTTCATGTGATCCCGGGGATGAGGATGCCACCTGAAGTCATCTGATAAGTCTTATAAAATATATAGATTCATGATAATTAAGACTGAGCTAGCAGATGAGAAATCCTAGTCATTAGCCAAGCATAATTTGTACCTAATATAAGTCTCTGTGTATTCTTTGGGCCATCCACATGGCAGGCAGAACTCAAGTGGGTGGCAGAAAGATTTATCGTAACACTCAGCTACAGCTCCAGTGTCATGTCTGCCTACTGGACAAAAATTCTCCCTCCCATGATAATGGACTAACTCTCTGAACATGTAGCCAAGCCCCTAGTTAAATGCTTACTTTTATAAGTTGCCTCAATCATGATATCTCTTTATGGAAAAAAAAGTAACTAAGTTAATATTTAAGCTCATATGCACAACTTGGAACAGGAAGCACATCCTATATACCAGCTAAGTCTACTCTGTTTATCTGACTTGATGCCTTCCAAGCCACATCCAAACTCTAGACACATCTCACCACCACATCTTCTCTACTCCCCAATATGCTCCTTCCAAAACAAACACAAAACTAACAAAGGAAGTCCACATGCCCAGATCTCGTCTCAGGAATACCAACAAGATGAAAGATCAATCCAGTATCTTCTCTCCAAAACTTAAACCAGTCCTGTAGAAATGCTCTCCAATCACATAGAAGAACCCAGGATACATAATTTATAAGAACAATCATGAACCTCCTCAAAGAATTCAAGGAGACCCAAAGAAACAGCTCAGCTCTTGAGGCAGACTGAATCGGTCCCTGAGGACCCAGGGACACTGACTCTGCTGAGATCACTGGGCTAATCTGCCCTTAGGCAGTGCAGAGTGCAAAGAGTGCAGAGGTGAGCTGCTTTGGCCCTTGACTTGGGCCCAACTTCCCGCCTGCCCACTCTGGGAACTCCTGCCCAGGGGTCTACAGGCAGGTCGACTAGGCCCCTGAGGACCAAGCAACCCAGAGTCTGCTGACAACTCTGTGCTAGTCCTGCTCTTGCCCACCTGGAGAGCAAGTGACTCAGACCTGCCTACACCCACCTTGAGACCCATCAGAGTATTGGAGGCAATTGCACCCACCTGTACAGAACCCTGGACCCATACACACCAGGAAAGAAAAAGACAGCACCTGCATTCACTGGAAGAAGAGATGGGAAGATGACAATATAAGAACACATCCAACAACTGGAAAACCAATATGACAACACCAGAGTCTAGGGATTCTACACCAGCCAAGACCTGAACATCCCAACACAGATGAAGCAGAAGAGATCAACCTTAAAAACAACTTCATGAAGATAACAGAGACCCTAAGAGAGGAAATTAGAAAATCCTTCACAGAAATTGAAGAAAAGATGAACCAAAAGATGCAAGAAATCAAGGAAAGCCAAGAAAATACAATTAAACAGCTGAATGAAACAGTTCAGGACTTGAAAACTGAAATAGAGACAATAAAGAAAGCACAAACTGCTGGGTGTTGGTGGCACATGCCTTTAATCCCAGCACTCGGGAGGCAGAAGCAGGTGGATCTCTGTGAGTTCAAGACCACCCTGGTCTGCTGACGATAAACTAGGGGAAATAAGTTCATCAAACAAAGAAAATCTTAAGTCCAACAAATCCTGAACACAAAATATCCAGGAAATATGGGACACCGTGAAAAGACCAAACCTAAGAATAATAGGTATAGAAGAAGGTGAAGAAACCCAACTCAAAGGTGCAGAAAACATATTCAACAAAATCATAGAAGAAAAATTTCCCAACCTAAAGAAAGACATGCCAATGAAAGTACAAGAAGCCTACAGAATGCCAAATAGAGTGGACCATCACATAATAATTAAAACACCAAACATACAGAATAAAGAACATTAAGAGCAGCAAAGGAAAAAGGCCAAATAACATATAAAGGCAACCCTATCAGAATTATACCTGACTTCTCCATTGGAAACTCTGAAAGCCAGACGGACCTGGGTAGATATTCTACCAACTCTGAGAGAACTTGGATGCCAGCCGTGACTACTATACCCAGCAAAGCTTTCAATCACTATAAATAGAGAAAACAAGATATTCCACGACAAAACCAGATTTAAACAATATGTAACCACTAATCCAGCCCTACAGAAAGTATTGGAAGGAAAACTCCAGCCTAAGGAAATTATCTACACTCACAAAAAAATAGGCAATAGATAATCCCACTCTACAAAAACACAAAATAAAAGGCAGGGTAAATCCACATACAATACCGGTACCAACAACAAACCAAAAACAAACAAGAATAAACAATCAATGGACCTTAATTTCCCTGGATATTAATGGTCTTAACTCGCTATAAAAAGACACAGGCTAACAGACTGGATAAGAAGACAGAATCGATCCTTCTGCTGCATACAAAAACACACCTTGAATTCAAAGACAGACATTACCTCAGAGTAAAGGGTTGGGATAAGATATTCCAATCAAATGGACCCAAGAAATGAGCTGGGGTAGCTATCCTAGTATCTAACAAGTTAGACTTCAAACTACCATCAATCAAAAGTGATGAAAAAGGTCATTTCATACTCATCACAGGAAAAATCCATCAGGAAGAAGTCTCAATTCTAAACATCTATGCCACAAATACAAAGGCACCAACATTCTGACAGAGGGCTGATCTCCAAAATATACAAAGAACATCGAGGCAAGTCTCTAAAATACCAAACAATCCAATTAAAAAGTAGTTCTTCGAAAAAATCAACAAGATAGACAAACATTTATCCAGACTTACCAAACAGAAGAGAATGAACATGCAAATTAACAAAATCAGAAATGAAAAGGGGGACATAACAAAGGACACTGAGGAAATCCAGAGAATCATCAGGTCATACTTTGAAAACCAGTACTCCTCAAAATTAAAAAAATCTAAAGGAAATGGACAACTTTCTGGATAGATATCACTTCCCAAAATTAAATCAAGAACACATAAGCAATTTAAATAGACCTATAAGCCCTAAGGAAATAGAAGCTATCATCTAAAGTCTCTCAACAACAACAACAACAACAAAGCCCAGGGTCAGATGGCTTCAGTGCAGAATTCTACAAGAAATTCAAAGAAGAACTAATACCAATTTTCCTCAAATTGTTCAACACATTAGAAGCAGAAGGACATTGGAAGAGGAGGTAGGAAGAGTGTAAGAGCCGGAGGGATTGAGAACACCAAGGAAACTAGACTTTCTAAACACAGCACACCAACACATAACAGAGACTGTAGCAGCATTCACAGGTCTGCACCAGATGGAGTCCTACAGCTGAGAGGACAAGTGGACATAGGCCCTCACTCCTAACCCAGAAACTATCTCCATTTGATAGCCACTTGCAAATGAAAAATTAGTTTTCTCCAAGGGAGTTTTACTGGGAAAACAAACCACTTTTAAGGCTAGGTCCCATGTGATGGAGGGAGGCCTTCTGTGTATATGTTTGTCTTATTGGTTGATAAATAAAGTACTGGGACTAGGAGTTGGGGAGGATCCTGGAAAATGTAGTCAAGAGAGGTCTTGTGATCCAGGCAGGAAGTGACATAGCAGGTAGACTCAGAATATAAGCAGAAACAAGCAGGAAATTGCTGTCTTTCTCCTCCTCTCTCATTTTTGGGTTTGTCATGTGATCGCTGGGAAGACAGGATGGACATGGCCAGCATCCTCTATAAGATAAGTCTTTATAAATATATACATTAGTAGTTATGGTTGATAATTAAGACTGAGCTAGCATATAAGAAATCCTAGTCATTGTCCAGCAGCCTTGTACCTAATATTAATCTCTGTGTGTTATTAGGGGGCCCTAAAGCTGTGGGCAGAACCCAGGCAGCTGGCAGGAAATCTAATCGTTAAACCAAAATCCTGCAGTAGATAATGAATACAAAGCAATGTAAATGGAATCTTTACAGCTCTTTATGTCTATAGTAAGGCTTTTGTTTTTGTTTTTATGGGATTTCTATGTGTACAAATGTATATGTTTCCTGTGCTTTTATTTCATACTTTGGCTTTGTATTTCATATTCTGAATTACTTGTTTTCATTTAACCTTAGTGTTGTTTTTTGGAGGGGAGGTGGTAGGAACTGAGAGGACTAGGGGGAGGGGAGCCCTTAATATTGGTGCTGAACCAGCACGACTCCTTACAACTGTCTGTAACTCAAGTTCCAGTTGATTTAATGACCTCTCTGGCCTGTGAGGGCACCAGCAATGCACACATGCATACATGCTTATATAACCCTCATTCATATAAAGTGAAATAAATAAATTTATACATATATATAATTTTTATTCTAGACAATTTCATAAAACACATTTTGATCATATTCATGGCCTACTCCTTCCCCCAAAGAAGAAAAATTTACACTTTTTTAAAAATCTGATGGCATGTTGAGTACAAGTTTCTCAGCATATTGATTATTCTTCTATCAGAACTGATTTGTACCAAAGGAGTAATTGTGGGATAGGCATTCATCACAAACTTCTGAACAGTCAGGGTGACTGGGTTGTACATCCATAACTGGCTTGCAGTGGATGAGATGATGAAGTCCACCCAGTACATGATGACAAAGACAACCACCAGAAGCAAGATGGTCTGGGTGGCCTTTTTCTCAGGGGATACTCTCAGGTGGCTAAGGCTATGAAGATGCTTGCATTGCCTCTGATGTCTGAACAAGATAATCACCATGTATGCACTTGTGGTCAGCATAACTCCTACAAGAAATACATCTCTGGAGGTTGTCACTGTTAAAATCACTGCCCTGATGATATTGTTCATGGGGAAGATGGAGCAGGATTTAGTGACTTTAATCTGGTTGGTCTCACTCACATTGGTAAAAGCACCAACACAGAAGATCAGGTTGCTACTGAATGACAAATTGAAAGACCAAATGTAGAAGAAGGCATAGGTCATGTATTTTTTTAACTTAAGTTTAAGTTTTGCCAGCAAAGAGGTACTGTGACTGATAGTGACAGCCTGGATCACACTCAGGAGGCAGGTGATGCAGATAGAGAGTCCTCTCATCACTCTGTGTATGTAAAAAGTTGTCTTACATTTGAAGTCATTCTCAATGTTCAGTGACTCAAATATGTCTGTAAGCCATGTATCCCCTCCAGTGAGCAGTAGCACTATGTGGATAGAGACCAGTTGACAGGAGATCAGGTCTATGAGCTTAGGTCTGTGACACAGGATTATGAAAGTGTAGAAAAACAGGAGAAACATATTGGCTAGAACTCCAAGTCCAGCTTGGAAATAAAGGACAATGTTTAATAAGGACATAAGTGGAAAGTGTATTCATATTAACATCATAGTAAAAGCATATTTCACATACCTGGGAAGATAATAGAGCACATATCAAACTTGTGGTTCACTGGTCGGTATCATCATTCTAATCCACCCACTTATTCTTGATTTACCTGTCACTATATTTTTGATGTTACAGAGGGACACGGCCTGTATTTTTATATACCCTCCATGTATTTCCTGTACATATAGCTTATTATAAATAATAAATACATTCACAGTCACAGTCTGTATAGAACTTACATTTCATGTGCCTATATTGCACCTGGACCTCATGTCTTAGAAATCCAATCTTGATTTATATTGTCTTATTTCATACTTAACACCTAAAACAGTAGTGATCAACACAATATTAGTCATACTTGTACAACTGAACAAAAATTGTGTTGATCTGGGAAGGAATCACAAAAGAAATCCAAAATACTCAGATGAGTCAGTCTTGTAATGCATAATTTTAATAATCTCTATTTTGCAACTATTCATGTTTTAACTCATAATTCTAATGGAAACACAGTGATAAATTCATGATAACCGGATGTGAGTCTGGGTACTGCTCTGGCCCCAACTTACTCCATCACCCCCTCCTTGCTTCTCCCTGAGCCTGCCCCTTGTCAAGAGTGGACCTGCGAAGACAGGAAGGCCCACCCTGAGTCTGGCCACACCTCACCATAGTTCCCCCTCCGCCCTCCACACCCTGCCTCCCACCTGCCTGAGTTGAATCTGGGCTCTGCTCTGCCCTTAAATTCCCCCATCATACCCTCCTCACTTCTTCCTGAGCCAGCCCCTGAGTAGAGCGGACCCACCCAAAATGGAAGGCCAACCCTGTGTCTAACATAACTCACTCTTAGTACCCTTCCAGCCTCTGCCCTTTGCTTGAGGAGACTAGAAGAGAGGGAGAGACCCACCTGCACCCACTAGAAGAAGGGATGGGAAGACGACAAAATAAGAACACACTCAACAACAGAAAGACCAATATGACACCACCAGAATCTCGGGACTCTACACCAGCAAGAACTGAATAGCTCAGCGCAGAGGATAAAGAAGACATGGACCTTAAAAATTATCTTATGAAGATGATAGAGATCATTAAAGAGGAAAGAAGAAAATCCCTTAAAGAAATAGAAGAAAAAACAAGCAAAAAATTACATGAAATGGAAGAAAAGACAAACCAAAAAATTCAAGAAATAAACAAATCTCTTAAAGAATCTAAAGAAAGCCAAGAGAAAACAACCAAACAAGTCAAGGAAACAATTCAAACAGTTCACAGTTTGAAAGAAGAATTAGAAACAATAAAGAAAACACAGAATGCGGGAATGCTGGAAATAGAATAGCTGGGTAAACAATCAGGAACCACTGATGTAAGTATAACCAAAAGAATCCAAGAAATGGAAGAGAGGATCTCAGGTTTTGAATACTCACTAGAGGATACGCAGTCATCAACCAAAGAAAATGTCAAGTCTAACAAATCCCTAACAGAAAATATCCAGGAAATATGGGACAACCATGAAAAGAACAAACCTAAGGGGAACATGTTTGGAAGAAGGTGAAGAAACCCAACTCAAAGGTGCAGAAAACATATTCAACAAAATCATAGAGGAAAACTACCCCACCCTAAAGGATATGCCTATGAAAGTACAAGAAGCTTACAGAACACCAAATAGACTGGACCACACTCCCCTTGCCACATAATAATCAAAACACCAAACTTACAAAATAAAAAGAAGATATTAAGAGCAGCAAAGGAAACAGGTCAATTAACATATAAATGCAGACCTACCAGAATCACACCCGACTTCTCAATTGAAACTTTGAAAGCCAGAAGGTCCTAGATAGATGTTCTACAAACACTAAGGGAACATGGATGCCAACACAGACTACTGTACCAAGCAAAGCTTTCAATCACTATAGATGGAGAAAACAAGATATTCCATGAGAAAACCAAATTTAAGCAATACATATCCACAAATCCAGCCCTACAGAAATTACTGGAAGGAAAACTCCAATGCAATGAAGATAACTATGCTCAAAAAAAACATAGGCAATAGATAATCCCACTTTACCAAACACCAAAGGGGGGGGAATCTACACATAATAATACCACACCAACAAATCCAAAACAACAAGAATAAACAATCAATGATCATTAATATCCCTCAATGTCAATAGTCTTAACTTGCCAATAAAAAGATACAGGCTAACAGAATGAATACAAAGACAGAATCCATCCTTCTGCTGCATACAAAAAGCACATCTCAATGTCAAAGACAGACTTTCCCTCAGAGTAAAGGGTTGGGAAAATATTTTCCAATCGAATGAACCCAAGAAACAAGCTGGTGTAGCAATCCTAATATCTAACAAATTAGACTTCAAACTAAAATCATTCAAAAGAGATGAAGAAGACAAAACGACAGCCCACAGAATGGGCAAAGATATTTACCAACCCCACATCTGACAGAGGGCTGATCACCAAAATATACAATGAACTTAAGAAGCTAGTCACCAAAACACCAAAAAAAGAAAAAAAAACAATTAAAAAGTGGAGTGCAGAATAGTGAATTCTCAACAGAGGGATCTAAAATGGCTGAAAGACACTTAAAGAAGCACTCAACATCCTTAGCCATCAGGAAAATGCAACTCAAAACCACTCTGAGATACCATCTTACTCCTTTCAGAATGGCTAAAATCAATAACACCAATGACAGTCTATGCTGGAGGAGATGGAGAAAGAGGAACACTCTTCCATTGCTGGTGGGAGTGCAAAGTTTTACAACCACTTTGGAAATTAGTATGGCGGTTTCTCAGGAAAATGGGAATCAGTCTACCTCAAGATCCAGCAATTCCTCTCTTGGGCATATACCCAAAGATTGCACATTCATATAACAAGGACTCCTACCTCCCTCCTGCCTCCCTCATTCTTCCAATTTGTTCAGGCGCTCTTGTCACTTTCCCCTTTCATATTCAAGTATGTTCATAGCAGCATTATTTGTAATAGCCAGAACCTGGAAGCAACCTGATTGCCCCTCAATTAAAGAATGGATAGAGAAAATGTGTTACATTTACACAATATAATACTACTCATCGGGGGGGAAAAAAAAACAATGGAATCCTGAAATTCGCAGGCAAATGGAATTTCTGTTTTAAAAGAGATTCCTAAATACAGAATTCTCGACAGAGGAATCTAAAATGGCTGAAAGACACTTAAGAAAGTGCTCAACATCCTTAGCCATCAGGGAAATGCAAATCAAACCAACTCTGAGATATCATATTACACCAGCCAGAATGGCTAAAATCAAAAACACCAGTGATAGTTTATGCTGGAAAGGATATGGAGAAAGGGGAATACTCCTCCATTGCTGGTGGGAGTGCAAGTTTGTACAGCCAGTTTGGAAATCAGTATGGCACTTTCTCAGGAAATTGGGAATCACTCTACCTCAAGAATCAGCAATTCCACTCTTACCCAAAGGATGCACATTCATACAAGGACATCTGTTCAACTACGTTCATAGTAGCATTATTTGTAATAGCCAGAACCTGGAAGCAACCTAGATGCCCCTCAACCAAAGAATGGACAAAGAAAATGTGGTACATTTACACATGAAGTACTACAAAGGGGAAAAAACAATGGAATCTTGGAAATTCCAAGACAAATGGATGGAACTAGAGGAAACCATCCTGAGTGAGGTAACCCAGACACAGAAAGACAAATGTGGTTTGTACTCACTCATATATGGATATTAGACATAGAACAAATGATTACCAACCTATAATCCACACCTCCAGAGAAATTAAGAAACAAGGAGGACCCTAAGAGACATGCATAGTCCCTTGGAAAAGAGGAAAGTGACAAGAGCGCCTGAACAAATTGGAAGAATGAGGGAGGCAGGAGGGAGGTAGGAGAAAGAGGAGGTCAGAAGAGGAGAGGAGAGGAGCAGAGAGGAGACAATGAGGTATCAGGACGATTTAGTCAGGTGATGAATAGAAGAAAGCAAAAACAGAGATACCTTAATAGAGGGAGCCATTATAGGTTTAAAGAGAAATCGGACACTAAGGAAAGGTCTAGAAATCCCCAAGGACTCTAACTAAGAATCTAAGCAATAGTAGATGGACTGCCTTAAATGTACTTTCCCTATAATGAGATTGATTACTACATTAAATGTCATCCTAGAGCCTTCATCCAGTAGCTGGTGGAGGCAGAAGCAGAGATCCACAGCTAAACACTGAGCCACACTACTGCAATTGAGTTGTAGAGATGGAGGAGTGATAAACTAAGGTGTCAAGACCATGCTGGATAAACCCATAGAAACAGCTGACCTGAGCAAGAGGGAAGTCATGGACCCCAGCCAGACATCTGGGGAACCAGCATAGGACTGATCCAGGCCTCCTGAACTTGGCTGACATTTTGGAGGCCTGAGCAGTCTATAGGGCCTCTTGCAGTGGAACCAGTATTTATTCCTAGTGCACGAATGGACTTTGGGAGCCCATTCCTCCAGGTTGGGATACAATCTCAGCCTAAATACATGGGGGAGGACCTAGGCCCCACCCCAAATGAGATGACAGACTTTGGTGCTCCCCCATGAAAGGCCTCACTGTCCCTGAGGAGTGGCTAGGGAGTGTGATGGGGCGAGGGTGTTGGTGGGAGTCATGGAAGGATGGGAAAGAGAGAGAACTGGGATTGATATATAAAATAAGATTGTTCCTACTTTAAATAAGAAAATATCAAACAGGAAAAAAATATGAAAGATTCCTTCCCTTACAGTGGAAACCAAGGTCCCAGGTGTTATCATATGTCACCAGTACCCAGACAATTTTTTTCTCCATTTTTTATTTATATTAGAAACAAAATTGTTTTACATGTCAATTCCAGTTCCCTCTCCCTCCCTTTCCTCCTGCCCCCCCCAACTAATACCCTACCTATCCCATACCATTTCTGCTCCCCAGGGAGAGTGAGGTCCTCCATGGGGTGGTCTTCAGAGTCTGTCATATCCTTTTACCCAGACCATTTTTAA